ATCAATTTTTCTTCGTGATTTCTCTCTTGCTTATGAGACTGATTGCTCGTTACCTTTGGATAATGATGGCTTACAATACATTGATTATTCTGTTTACGAACGTCAAATGGATATGACATTCTCAAGTGACTTTTGGCAGTCACAACTTCATGGATATAATTTCGAATGTCGATTGTCATTGCCCACTGATCGACAACGTTCATCTAGTGATCAACGATCTGGTCTTGCATCTATAGCGCAAATATCATTTGATGAGGACATTTCAACAGCATTTCTAGATTATGCATCTGCTCATAAAGTCACACCTTTTCAACTGGGACTAGCTACATTTTATGCCTTTCTCTTCAAAATAAGTCATGGTCAAAGTGATCTCTGTATTGCTTGTCTCAATGCCAATCGATACAAAAGTGAATTACAAAATATAATTGGAATGTTTGTTGCAACATTACCTTATCGTATTCAACTTGATTCTAATTGGTCATTCGATGAACTTGTCAAACATGTACAAGAAAAGTCCTTATCCGTTCTCGAACATTCTCATTATCCATTACAATATATTCTTGCTGATTCTCATATCAGTCAATTAAATGCTTCTTTTCTCGAGACAGTGTTTAATTTTCTCACTGTGCCTTCCGATATGGCTCACTTATCTTTGAATGGTGCAACTTTAGAACAAGTGTCATTAGATCCATCGTGGGAAGTTGCTAAATTTGATTTCATGTTGACATTTATTTACAATCCGTCATTGAATGATAGAAGGCTTTCATGTCATTTCATCTGCTCGCATGATCTATATGATGTGTCGACAATTGAGAAGATAGCACAAAGATTTCAACATATTTTCTTCCAACTTTTCTCTTCAAAATCTAGCGCTTCTCAGATTAACCAATCGTTTACAGCTATCAAGAAATTGTCGCTTATTTTACCGAATGAAGCTCAAGAAATGCAAGGAACAATCTTTTACAGATTACCGAATATTGTCAATGAAGGTATGTTTATTTACTTTTTATTGTATTTTAATGTAGGAGATATTCCATAAGTAGCAATAGCCTAAAGAGGCGATTATAAGTTGTTTGTTGATTTTTGACCAAAAGGTGGGATTTATGTAGGGTTCTAGAGGAAGAATTTCTCTATCTGTTGGTACATAGATTATTGAATTCTGTTGTGCATCCTAGGAGAAAACTGAAGTAAAAAAATTACGGACTTCACATTTTTTTAAGGAGGTACCCGATATAAGAATTTAGATCCTGTCCAATAAAGACAGAACCTGATGTTGAGAGTGTGTTTGTCGCTCGAGTACGCATAACATCCACTTGCATATTCTATTTCATTTTTCTTCATATTCGAGTTATGATGTGAGTTATCAAAGTTCAAACAAAATTATTACCAATATTTTTAATAATGTTCCCTAAAACAGTATTTATAGTCTCATGTATGTTAATTTGAAATATAGTTGAAATATACGGAATTATACAGGTTTCTTTGCTCTTCAAAGTTGTATATAGAGTACAGTCACGTGGGGTAATTCGGATCAAAGTTTTAAAAATTCGTTTTGTTTTTCTTCGCTCTTCACTATTTTACGCAATATAGAAGTGAGTTTTGGATCACAAGTAGAACAAAGTGTGCTCTATCGATTGACGAAAGAATCTCCGAAAAATCATGTATTGTAAAAAAGTATGATAAAAAATACAAGAGGCAGTATGGTAGGTGATCCGAATTACCCCACATGGGGTAATTCGGATCACCTAAGCAATTTAGGTCGGGTAATTCGGATCATTACAGCCAAAACAGCTATACCCTATTTTTTCCATCTCTTAACTCAATTTTTAGCTGGTCTTGAAAAATAAACAAATACACCATTTGATAGCCCAAAGTCTCTACTATGGAACCTGAAGATATCTCGATGATCGAGTATGACCTTAGAGATGCAATATTCACAACATTGACACCTATATCCATCAGTTTTTAAAAGTTAAAAATGAACTCGGGGTAATTCAGATCAGTCAAGCAATTTTACTCGGGTAATTCGGATCACTCCAGCTATTTTAGCTGGACGTAACTTATGAAACCTCTACTGTTTTTACAATACATTATCGACCAGTACTCCTGGGACAGAAGTTGTTCATCTTTCTTTTCTCTATCATGTCCATGCAAAATAACATGACATTGAACGAGATCGACCAAGTATTTTTCTTAATTTTTGAAATGATGAAAAAAGGCTGTTTTTGTATGATATATCTTATAGTATTTATCATATTATTGGAAAACAATAATACATCCGACAAAAAATAAATTTGGCATTTCAGACTCAGAATTGTTTGGGCTACAAAACTGTATAAAAGAAAAGGTCCTAAGAGCTGTCATCGTAAACTATAATATCATAAATAATCCTATAAAACATCATAATTTTATGAAAACTCAACTTTATTAAAGATTTAGTCTAAGGAAATGGATAAATTATCGCAAATATTTTTAATCGATAATAAAAGAGCTAAATTATCACCATTACCAATCTAATCAAAGCTTAGATGGTCGACAAGTATCACCATAAAAAACGAGACTTCGAGCGAGAATTCAACGTTGGAAAAGGAGTATTGAAAGCATTTGACCCTTCACGAATTGAACAACCATTTGTAACTAGTTCAATTGGCAATTCAAGATCGTTATCATTACACTATTTTTTGAGATTTTTTTAATATATGCTCGTGGCATTCACCAGATTTATTCTTTTATTTAAAAGATAAACAACAAACAGTAAAAATCCAAGATGATGATAGTTAGAAATAATTAACGGGTCCCTCTCAGAAAGGAACTGTGCTATTTTTCAACGTAACTCAACCCAGATTTCAGAGAATGTTAGTCTTGACTAGTGTAGATTATGGTTGAAATATCTCCTTAGATCTGTGAGTAATTCACGAGTTATCATTTATTTTTTGGTCAAAAGTAGCCTGTACGCACGCTGGCAAGATTTTCACAATTAGGACACAAGTTAACATAGCGGGGCTGTTTTTAGGTTGTAGAGTACACTTGGCGCTAGATCCTCACAGAGCCTGATTTTCGAAGTTCCCTCTATTTTTTTTTATAAAAACTCTTCTTCGAAAACTTCGCGAATTCATGACCAAAAAAACGTTCACATAAATTAGACATGTGAGTTTTTGATTTGGCCAACATAGAATTTCAAAAGTCGGGCTCTGTGATGATCTAGCCCTAACTATGTTCTATGTAATAGAAAAAAAAATTACCACTTCCATGTCGGGTAGTTATGGAGAAAATCTGCTCGTGTAAATTGCATGCTCGGAAAAACTGATTTTGGGAAAAACTGAAAAATAGTATTAGAAATCGATTTTTCCGGAAATCACTCGATTTATTTATCAATGTTTAAGATAGTTGATAAATATGGGGCCTAAATATTAAGTTTTGATAGGCTCTTAGTGACTAGTATTTAAGAAAAAACTTTACGAAATGCTGATGCAAAGAGAAAGCAAAATAAAAAGTCGAAATAGCTTGAAATAAATAACGGTGGAATTTTCTTGGAAAATATGATAGTAAGAGCCAAATTTTAGACAATGACTTCGTCAAAATCAATTCATTTTTTATAAACCGTAGATATTGAGAAAGAGAAGACTTCGATGCATCTTCCTATGATAAAACTTCAACTTTCGCTCGTCTCCTAAAAATTGGATTTTCTGAGAGCCCAGTGAAAAATATTCACTGATTTCAATCGGATTTTTCTGAAACAAAATCAAAATTAAAATCGAATGATAATTTTGATTATCGTTGATCATGACTTAACTATTACTTGATATTATTACTTATACAGTGTGAAATTTTCTGATTAAAATCAGATTATTCTGCAGCAAAATCAAGATTATAAATGGATTAATAATTTTGATTTTGTTGCAAAATAATCTGATTTTAATCAAAAAATTTCACACTGTGTATGTAACAATATCAAGTAATAGTTAAGTCGTGATTAACGATAATCAAAATTATCAATCGATTTTAATTTTGATTTTGTTTCAGAAAAATCCGATTGAAATCAGTAAATATCTTTCACTGGGAGGGACTCCCTTAAGGGCCCCGCCACTCAGAAAATCCAATTTTTCGGAGATGAGTCGAAATTGAAGTTTTATCATAGGAAGATGCACTGAAGTCTCCTCTTTCAGAATATCTATGTTTTATCGAAAAATGAATTGATTTTGACGAACTTATCGTCTAAAACTTTGCTCCTACTATCATATTTTTCGAGAAATTTTCATGGTGTTTTTTCAAGGTTTTTCGACTTTTTAGGCTGCTTTCTCTTTGCATCATCATTTCGTAAAGTTTTTTTTTTTTACTAATCACTAAGAGACTATCAACACTTAATCTTAAGGTCACACATTTATAGCCCGTCTTGAACATTGATATATAAATCAGGTGATTTTCGGAAAAATCGACTTCTAATACTTATTTTTCGTTTTTCTCAAAATCAATTTTGTCGAGTTTACCGTTTACGCGGGGAAGGATTTCTTAATACTGACTCAATAGAGAAGGGATAATTTTTTTTGTTGAACAGAGGACAGTTAGGGCTAGATCCTCACAGGCTCCGATTTTTGAATTTCTCATTTGCTGAAATAAAAAAACTCAGATATTTCATATTTATTAGCACTTTGAATTTGAACATTTTTCGAAAAAGTATTTTTAAAAAACAAACAAAGGGAAATTCAAAATTCGGGCTCTGTGAGGATCTGGCCCTAAGGGTACTCTACAAGTTAAAAACCGCCCGAGCTTGTTAGCTTGTATCCTTATTGTGAAATCCTTCCCCGCGTAAAGGATAATGAATTGCCTAGAACTTGTGTATTTTTTTGAGATTTGGGGGAGATATTTTAACCATAAGCTATTCTAGTCAAGACTAACATTCTCTGAAATTTTGGTTGAAATCGGATGCAAAATAACAAAGTTCGTTTCTGAAGGGGGGGGGGGGGGTCTTAAACGTGTGAAACGTGCTTTTTTTAAAATTAACTTCTACTTATACGTTTAAATTATAAGAAAATACTTAAAAAAGGCACAAAATGCTCAAGACTAGACCTTTTCGAATGAGTGACATTTTGATTTTTTTATTACATTGATTATTATTCTTTAAAATTGATAAAAATATTTTAAAAAATCAGTTGTTTTCTCCTAGGTATAAATCTATAAGTATTTAGAGTGAAAGTCCTCCCCTAATATCACTTTTATCATATGAACAAACTTCATAAACTCGCCGATTTTTGCCGGTCGGGCTGGACCGGTCTAAAATTTCGAAACCGGTTACAACTTTGAGTCAGAGATGTGTTATATGATCAACCTCTAAGCATAGCAACTGGTTCCAGACACATACATGTATAACTTGCTAGTATGTGACTACATGAAAAATTTCATGTTTATTGTGTTACAGACGATTTTCATATTCTTGCCTGTTTATCTCATTCTGAAATACAAATTCGACCCAATTGAATTTCGTATTCTTTTGACCTAAAGAAGTTCAAAATGTGATCAAATCGAATTTGTATGGCGGATTGAGATAAACAGGCAAGAATATGAAAATCGTCTGTGACACAACAGATATGAAGTTTTTCATGTAGTCACATACGAGCAATTTATACATGTATGTATTTGAAACCAGTTGCTATGCTTAGAGGCTAAGCACATAAAACATCTCTGGCTAGTATTCTCTAGTATATGCAGTATAAATACGAGATGTAACTGCTGATATTTAAAGAAAATAAATCAAAAAAACTTTTATCCTGTCACTTTTGTCCCACCCTGTATGTGATCTATGCGAATTTTGAAATTTTGAGATCGGTTAATGTCATAGTCGTAGCAAACTCATTCCTTAAACATAGGTCAACAGAGTTAGTATAGTTGAGATAGGCAGCAATTTGAGTTGAAAGTTTTTCAAAAAAAAAAGTTATTTGTTATTTTTTTGTTATTAATAACAAATAACAATAAATTCACACTCCTAGATCTAACCAATAGTCAAACGAAGTGATACACGAAATTCTACCTTAAATAATCATAGCAACGTAGAATCTGACGATATGTTAGGAGATATCAAGCAGCGTGTCGAAACAAAGCCACCTGTGACCATAACAAGAACAAAATCAAAGCTAATTTCTAATGTAGTAGTGACAGATAAGGCAAAATTTGATCGATATTAACCTTTCAGTGTTGTATGATTCATCTTTCGTGTATTATCAAACTTGAAATAAAAGAAAGTTATCGACAAGAAAGAAAAAAAGTAGTGCTAAGAGAATGAGCATGATCGATGCATGATAAAAGTTGTATTGAAAAAAGGACAGTGAAGATAAATAACACTAAAGTGTGACACTTGTAGAATTATCTGTAACAACGAAAGCAAGATTACATTAATTGTTACATTATTATTATTTATCTATTAGATATGTTGAAGATGAAATAAACTCTGCAAAATCATGAGACGTTAATGTAACTTCTCATTAGCTATATTAATAATAAGTAAACGTCCCTAACTGCCGATCGCTGTTTGATTCTGTATCTTTCTATGATTAGGCACCAAGGAAACTGAAAAGCCCCTTAAAAAAGGTTCAAGCATTGGTCACTTCGACGAGGATCTGATTGCTTCATGACTATCAATTTAGACTTTTAACGTTTTCTCAATTTTTAATTATTCCTTTTTCTGATTAGTTACTTTTTATAATTATATTCCATGGAATTTTCTTTGGAGACTAAGAGCGTGAATTGCTTTTATGCTTTGTTGTGTCGCGAGATATCATTATAATTCAATCCCATAATGTAGTGGAAAATAATATTTAAACGTTCTTCATCTTTTTTCTGTTTCAAAATACTCAACTGACAAAAAAAAACTTGTGAAACTGATATCCAATGAAAAAGTAAACGAAGGAAAGAACACATCAGTACAAAGACTACGGATTGAAACGACTTTCTTTCGAGAATGATCGAATATGTTGAGCGAAAACAGTTTAAAGTCGTGGTATGTCAAATATTTTTGTAACAAACTTTAGACCATAAATAATCAGAAGAAGAAAGAAAATTTGAGAAAAACACAAAAAGACTTCAACGTTCAGCCTATGAGACAACAGAGTTCCGCCCAAATAAACCGTAGGTCTAAACCTTTTCCGGATTTTCTTATTTTTCTTGAGTTGTATTCGTAGTCAAAATATAGGATCAAGAAGTAGCTCTTAGTGGAGGATATTATCTCAGAGTTTTCACAGCAATATTAGAGCGAACAAACTTTACCAAGTTATAAACTCCTATTAAGCATCAATAATGTTGAGATTGAAGAATGCTGGATTAGAGTCCTTTTTTAATCATTATAGATTCTTATTTTAATGTGGCAAAACACTCGGAACACTTTATATTTGATAACAACGTCCCAAGTGAATGAAAGAAAAGACATTATTTACTGTAGTTATTGTTGTCTGAAGAAGCGGCATGAATAAGCCTAATTTTTTGCAAGTAGCTCACTTCTTTGTTATTTTGAAAACTCCTCTTTCACGAATTCTATATATTAAAGAAGTAATTTCATCGAGTACTAAATTGCCATACTAAAGACTACTCATTAACTTCATGTTCTGTCAGTCGGAATCATAGATTGGTTAGTATAAAATACAGATTGATATAATTCACTGTATCGGCCATACATGTTATCTCTGATGCTAACGAAAGATGTGTAATAACGAATAAAAGTACAGTATACAACGAAAATAAGAGTATTTAAACAGTATTATTATGATTTGTAGAAGCATTCACTTGTTGACATCCAGAAAATGTATAAGATACATAATCATATTACAATAATATGAAAAAGCGTAGGATATTCAAAATACATGCAAAATTCAATAAACAGCACTTCTTTTCTGTAGAGAACTTTTGTCAGTAAGACGAATTTACTTTTTATTCAACAATTCAATCTCGTATTAGACTTCGTTTTCTTTGAACTAGAAAAAGTAACTGTAGTTTTTTTATGCCTCAATTCATCTCAAAGAGACTCTTGCTTTTTAAAGAGCAGTTTATCACTGGTCAATTGCTATTTTGAAGACAAAAGTAGCTTAGAATTTTCTATGCCGCAAAGATAAAGAAACTTACAATGAGTCAAGCTAATTCAAGGCGAAAGAGATGTGATGGATGCAACTAACAAGAATAGTGAAAACGACTTTTTCTGTTTCATTTCTAGACTCTTTTAATCGTATATAATATATTTAATTTAAAAATAATGTCTCAGAAAACTTTCAAACACCGAGATTTATGTTGCAGCTCATAAGAACTTTACTGCATGTGAGAGTCGAAAGATATATAAGGTTGCATCTAACAATGTAATACACTAAGTGCATAAAGGAAAAGGTCGAGACGATAGAGACGAATGAATAAAGAAATCATTCGACAAATGTCATTCTTTATATCAAGTAAATCCATGAATCGAAAGCTATTACTCCGTAAACCCTGCGGATAGCTGAGTAGTTATTTGTTTATTACCACTATAAACCTTTGAGAACAAGACTGAAATACGCCAATCAATTCAGGTTTTTGTTATTAAGCAACAGGAGCAAGCTAAATATTGTAATAAAATGAATTGACGACAAATCGATTAAAAGACTGCCGTTGATTCCACAATTCTCACTGCACTAACTGTAAACATTTGTCCGGTATATATTCATTTCACACCAATCATGATTTTACAGAATATCATGACAATACAATGTTTTCGGTTGAGATACAAAATAATTTCGATACAAATACGACATTCCAAATAACTATGAAAAAAATCAAACTTCCTACGGTGATACATGAAAATATTATCTTTTTTTTCCATTTATCATATTCAATAAAAATCATTTCCATAGAACTATATTTATGTTGAGAACAGCTATCCCAAATAATTCTTTCCAAGAGGATAAAATCAAAAAACGGAACAGATGGAAGTACAACTCTACTCATATGATTCCATAAATACTTGATAATTTACACTTTTTTCACAGCACCAGCATCTTTCGCGCAAGCTCGAATTTGGCTCGACGAACATATGCGTTGTGATATTAATAAACAATGTGTGGCAATATACAATATACCTTTTCTTTATCGTCTCCATCAGGGTCACACTTTATCGATTCCACAACTTAAACAAGCTCTTCAGCTAATTGTCACAAAGCATCAATCACTTCGTACATCACTCCTTTTCGATACAGAAAAAAATCAACTCATACAACGAATCATTGACTCCAACGATAATAACAATAGTCTATTTGAATTTATTGAAAGCGCTTTCGAAACTGATAAGGAGCTCAATCTCATTGTGTATGATGAGACACGAAACTTTCACTTGTTCAATCTTGACCAGGGTCTTGTCTTTCGATGTCATATTCTTCATCACACACGAAACTCTTCAAACGATCTTCTCTTCGATAAAGATGCAATTATTTTTAACTTTCACCATGCTTTGTTCGATTTTCCATCAATGGATGTATTTCTTCATGATCTCAATCAAGCTTACAGTACAGGTCAAATCACTATAGATGATAATTCTCTTCGGCGTTATCTTGATTGTGAGTAGGAATATTTATTGTTTTCAATAGAAACCCTTCGTCATCTCTCTCTTATGTAGATGCTATCATTGAACAACAAATGCCAATGACTGCTGCAAGTATGTATTGGCGAGATACTCTTCGAGGTTATAACATCAATCATTCATTACCCTTACCATTTGATCGATATCGTCTTTCTGATGAACGTCGAACTGGTCGTGGAGTATCTTTCTCTTTCGACTTTGGTGAAGACATTTCACATGATTTTCTTTCTTATTCATTATCGAATGATATAACAATTGAACAACTGGCACTCGCTAGTTATTATGCATTCTTGTTCAAATTGACTAATGGAGAAAGTGACTTATGTATTGGAATGAACACACATGGAAGATATAAAGAAGAGTTAATGTCAGTGATAGGACTGTTCGTCAATAATATTCCTTTACGATGTCAACTAGATCCTCATTGGTCTTTTCATCAGCTAGCTGAACATGTTAAAGAGATAATCACTAGTAGTTTAGAGTATTCTTATTTTCCTCTTCAACGAATTCTGGCTCAACATCCTAATGCTACAAAACCAGTATTTCTTGAGACATCATTCGAATTTCAATCATATACTTCTACAAGTGGCAATAATGAAATCACAATTGGAAATGCTCGACTTATTGCTCCGCCCTTTTCAATCAAGATTGATGAATATGAGATAATGAGCAAATTTGATTTCGTTCTTACTATTCAACATGATTTGGATACTGATCAACTTTCATGCACAATCAATGCGTCACTGGACTTGTTTGATAAAATAACAGTGGATAGGATGAGCCAGCGATTCTGTTCTATGTTAGAACAACTGTTGAACATAAATGATAACCAGATGAAGAAACCAATCTATGAATTATCATTAGTATTGCCAGATGAAAAATTACTTATGAAATCAATGAATAATACACAAGTATTATTTCCTTCTTTCACTTGTATACATCATGAATTTGTTCGTCAAGTGATGAAGCATCCACAAAAGGTAGCAGTGGAGATGGATGATCAATCTCTTACATATTCTGAACTTTTATATTATGTTCAAGTATTATCTTTGAATCTTTTGAATGAACAAAGAGTGATTGTCGGTGAGATTGTCTGTCAATGTGTAGAGAGAAGTTTATCAATGGTGAGTAGACGGAAGATAACTATTCAACAGAATAAACTATTGTTATTTACTAGATGATTGGCATAATTGCTATTGAGATGATTGGTGCTGTCTATTGTCCATTATCACCTCGAGATCCTCAACATCGTTTGCATTCTCTAGTATCACAAACACAATGTGGTCTTGTTCTTGTTCATTGGTTGACAAAGACAAAATTCAACAATGATATTATCTTACTTGATATTGATTCCGTATTGCTCAGCAATAACATCTATCATGAAATCAATGTTAGGTTGTTATCAAGTGTTGTCTTGACATCAGAGAATATTGCTTATATCATCTTCACAAGCGGTTCAACAGGAACACCGAAAGCGGTTAGTAAGAAACAGATGCTATGATAGAATGCTATAGTAATTTTGTTTTTATATGCAGGCTCAAGTTCAACATAGAAATTTCATTCAATCCATACGAGCTCTACAACATATTGACAGTATGAACAAAAATGATACTGTAATACAAATGGCACGATGCTCATTTGACATTCATGTTCAAGAAATCATAGGAATACTGATAATTGGTGGCACTCTCGTGATGCTTTGTCCAAGAGGAAATATTGATTTTGAGTACCTCTCGATGATTACACAAATGAAACAAATAACGTTCTTTTATACTGTGCCAACTTTACTTCAAAGCTTTTTTAATTTTATAACAGAGACTCAAAAGTCGTTTACTATGAAATACCTTCGATCTGTCTGTACTGGAGGTAAATTTCTAACCCTCAATTTTAATCTTTGTTTCATTTCATTTTTCTTATCTTTTTCAGGTGAACGCTGCTCTGTTAAACTCGTAAAATTATTAGAAAGTAATATAGACCCAAACTGTCATATATGGAATTTATGTGGTCCAGCCGAAACAACCTTGCAGTCTATATTCCATAAAGTGAGCTTACGAGTAGATAAGGAGACTATTCCACTTGGTACACCGCTACCTAATTATCATTGTTTAATTCAAGATGATTTTGCTCAGCCTACAATGATAGGCCAAGAAGCAGAGGTCTTGATGGCAGGAGAAGGCATCTTTGCTGCATATCTTGGCCGCCAAGATTTGACAGCCAAAGTACTTCTTAAAATCAACGATGAAATATATTATCGAACAGGTGATCTTGTTCGAATGGATAAAAGTGGTTTACTTCATTATCAAGGAAGAAAAGATTTTCAAATCAAATTGCACGGACAACGTATTGAACTGGGAGAAATCGAACGATGTTTACTTAATACATCAATTACTGCTTGTGTTGTCATTAAATGGGATGATGATCATTTGATTGCTTATGTTCAAGGCTCTGACATCGATGAGGAACAACTACGTAAACATTGTCAATCTCATCTTCCACCTCATATGGTTCCATCACTATTTATTGTACTTGACAAATTACCTCTGAATGCAAATGGAAAAATA